CTTTTTGTTCCTTTTTTTTTTTTTGCATTTTTTTCCCAATTTTTTTTTTGGGGCTTTTCCCGGGCCCTTTGTTTGGACTTATTTTTTGGGGGCCCTTTTTCTTTTTCCCCGGGGGGGGACCCCCCCCCCCCCCCCCCCCCCCCCGTCCTCTCCCCGCTCTACACAAAAACCAGCGTGTTGGACACATCGTGGCCGTGACTGGAGACGGAGTGAACGACTCGCCTGCCCTCAAGAAGGCTGACATCGGTATCGCCATGGGCATCATGGGCAGCGCCGTCTCGAAGCAGGCGGCCGACATGATCTTGCTGGACGACAACTTCGCGTCGATCGTGAGCGGGGTGGAAGAGGGACGTCTCATCTTCGACAACTTGAAGAAGTCCATCGCCTACACGCTCACGTCCAACATCCCCGGTGCGTTGTGTGTCGGGTGCTGTTGGTAGTGGCTTTGCTAGTTTTTGGTCTTGGCATGTTGTGGGTGTGGTTGGCTAGTTGTTGGCGTTCGGGTAGCTGATTCCTTTCTTCCGCGGTAGATGAGAATCAGAGCGCTGGTGCAGTGTGGCCATGACACGCCTTATTGGACACGTATGCGTATAATACCGTTTGAAAAAGGGGACGGTGTGACGTGTCTCCTTCTTGAGGTGCTTGACCTGATTGCTTTTGAAGACGCTGCGCTGAAGGCACTGCGCATTTCGAGCGACATGAGCACGCCTTGTCTAAGCCCGCTCCTGCCCGCTGTGGTCGTTTTTGCCGAACTTGCTTCGAACAACAGAGATCTCGCCCTTCATCTGCTTCATCACGCTCGGCACGCCGCCGCCGCTTTCGACTGTTCTGATCCTGGCCATCGACCTCGGTACCGACATGGTCCCGGCGATCTCCATGTCCTACGAACAAGCTGAGGCTGATATCATGCGTCGTCCGCCTAGGTATGCTCGTTTCCTCTACTGTGCGCTATTTAGTACAGTCAGTAGAGTTCTCTACTTTGTGCCGGTGTTTTCGGCAGGCACACGCTGAATTTCCAAGGCGTTGCCAATACTTTGAAAGTGCCGGTCCGGTGTAGAACATACCGGTGAATTTTCTGGGCACATGCCGGCACTACATTGGGACCTCTCTGCTGCTGTATGGCGTTTCATGCAGAAGGTCCTGTGTCATGACAAGGATAACTAATGTCCACTTGACTCAACGAAAGTGGCGTTATGTCGGCAGTACAATATTATATTTTCATCCGGTTTACGTTGTTGAGCGATGATATTATACCATGGTACGAGTGTTGCGCACTCTCCTAAAGAACCACAGTGCGTGTTGAACGGCGTGAGAGCAAGTTCGTTTTGTACATGGTGTTGGTGAGTATGGAAGGCTAAGTCCGCTGTTCGTAAGCCCAAAGAGAAAACCCAGCGCACAGTCTGTTGTTCTCGTACTTTCTTCCCGGATCCCTTCCTGTGGGGTGGATGCGTGTATTTTTCTTCTGTTCGGTATATGCGGTTGGTGGACAGCCGGTGTGTGGTGGTCACAAGACGCCTGCATCCCCACGACGCACCTACGATACTGTACTCTGCTTCTCCACGCCCCTCACGCCAACTCACGTGTCCCCTGTATAGTGTACTGTCGTATCTCATCCATCCATCCATCCATCCATCCATCCATCCAAACGCCGCCTTCCGTCCTCGTTGCCCTCCAGGAACTCCGCCATCGACCGCCTTGTGACGAAGAAGCTGATCATCTACGCGTACCTCCAGATTGGCGTCATCCAGGCCGCCGCCGGCTTCTACACCTGGCTCGTCGTGCTCAACGACTACGGCTACCCGCCCCACATCCTTATCGGGCTTGGCCGTGGCGACTACTTCGGGAAGCAGCCCCTCATGTACGTTGTACGGTGGCCGGAACATTGCCATGCGATACCCTCGAAACTGGAGTTGCCCTCTCGGGTTTTTTTGTGATGTTAATATCTTGGTTGTAATGTTAACATCTTGGTTTTAATCTTAAAGTCTTGGTTTAATATGAATCTTGGTTTTAATGTTAACGTCTTGGTTTAATATGAATGTCTTGGTTTTAATATTAATGTCTTTGTTTTATTATTAATATCTTGGTTTTAATGTTTTGATGTTAATGTCTTGGTTTTAGTACGGATTACGGATTGGCTTGGGGCTAGGTGTTACGGTTGCTTATTCTCCCCATCTCTGTTTCGCTTCTATCGCTTACTTGGAAGTACAGTACTACAATACTATGTTGGCGAAGGCGGTCCTGGCTTGGTTGTTGGTTGTGTTGTTTCTGTTTGGGTGTAGGCTAGTGGCCTCTCCACCGCAGCACTTTACCCGGCTTTTGGAAACCCCATGGTCGAAAAAGAAGTTGGGTTGTGAGACGTTTCTTGCGCTTGTTTATTTTCCGTACTTGGATGCGCTATTTTTCTGCTACAAGGCGTTGTTTAAGTTGATCGTTTGTGCCAATGCTAGCTGTAGCACTACGACTAGTGTACACCAAGCAGCATGTTGTTTGTGCCTCGTATTCCATGAACAAGTCCTTTCGACAAAGCAAAATGCAAAAGTCATAAAGCAGCATGTTGTTTGTGTCTCGTATTCCATGAACAAGTCCTTTCGACAAAGCAAAATGCAAAAGTCATAACGCGAACCATTGACGCACACACACAGCCCGGAATAGAAGCGAGTGTCGAAACATCAACCACGCTACAAAAGGCGCATTGATCACCGAGAGGCGCATTGATCGCCGAGTACAGCAGTATCTCATCACCCGTTCATCTCTGTGCTTCTGCCTCTCCTCTCTTGTCCCGCTCTTCTCTGTCATTCGCCGCGCCCCATCGGCTGACAGGTGCAAGTTCGCAGGTGGAGGGGGCCAGTACGCCAATACGAAGGGCGAGATCAACACCGAGCTTAACCCTCTCACCGACCCCCCCACCCTGGATTTCCCCCTGTGGGACACGGGAGCAGGTGGATACGTGGACACCTGCTACTTCCCCCTTAAGCTGGTGGACGAGAACAGCGGTACCCAGGTATGTGGGCTGGGCCCAAGCCAGGCTCGGATGTGTGGAGTATTGTTTCTGCCCTGTATGCTACAAGTTTTTTTATTCCATGTCTCGTACCTGTTTTTGTATTTTTTTTGTGTTTGTGGCCTGCCCGGCCCTTGCGGAATCTAATTAGGCTAGTCAGTTAGGTATTAATAGTTGCCCGGGGATCGCAGAAGGCATCCATCCCATCCCGTGAACTGGACTGGTACGGATGTCAGGAAGAAACCGGAACGGTCTGCGGCGCGAAGACGGCGGCCACAAGAGATGCGAGAAATACAGAGTTGTCGGAACAGAATTTAGTCTGTTTTTTTTCCCTGTAGGCGTTTACTATTTGTACCTAAATATTAGTTTTGGTCGGCAGTATCTAGATAATTCCGCCAAGGGCGTCCTTCCCCTTGAAGCCTTTCCGTGTCTGTTGTTCTCTCCGGTACTGTATTTGCTACATGGCCGAATTACTGCATGGGCCATTGGCGACGTGCTGTCCGTCGACTCTTGTACCCCGACTCCATTCATGTATAAACGTGTTGCAAGTGATACATACCCCAGGAGTGGGCTGGCTGACGAGAGAGAGAGAGAGAGAGAGAGAGAGCAAGCACAGCAGTGCCACTGAGGGGTGATGAAAGATGAAACTAAAACTACAGATAGCGGGACCAACCCCCAGCTGTCTGCGACGTTGTGGGAAAAAGAAATACACACGAGATATAGTCTACCCACAGTCGAACGGGATGTGTGAGTCTTTACAGCAGTGAGTGGAGGAAAACCGGCTGGGTACTGGACTTATTTCGAGTCCTTTAAAGTCTATACATTGATAATTTATAACAGTGACACCAGCTGGTGCTAAGTACAAAAACGTTTACCAAGCCCAATAACTCACACTGCTGACGCGTTTTTGAATCGAACAGCCCAGCGAACCGCAAGGAATAACAAAAAAGAGAAGCGCAAAGCAACACGTACCCGCAGCAGCAAGTGCCTGTAATGGGAGTACAAAAGGAGCGGTGCTCCGTCTCGTAACAGTTTCATGCTCCGCCAATGGTCGTATGCATAAGGCAAGCTACCGAAATGAGTACCCCCCCATTTTATTTGTCTGCGTGTGCACCATCTCCGTTGTCGAACGCAGGCCGATTTCGACAGGTACGATTCCGCGACCTACCTGGATGACGGAGTAGACGTGACCGCAACGGACAACCTCAGGTCGAAAATCAAGTCCGCTGGCGCACCCGGTATCCCAATCGAGGCAATGCAGGTAAGGGTACTTGTATGGATATACGATATACAGTACAGTATGGTATTTACCTCGGTAAGGGCACACATGGTTTTGCGTTGAAACAGGTGTCCTTAAGCCGGATTGTGTCCCTAACAATGATAACCGTACCTTTGGCTGGTATGTTATAGAATACGATCTACGGGGCACCATGCCTGTAAGAAGAAAGGTGTCCTCAACGTGCCAACCTACGAAAGGTGTTTGTTGTTGTGGTACTTGGGGCGGACAGAGCGAAAAGAATGGTATCCTCAACGTGCCAACCTGCGAAAGGGATTTGTTGTCATGGTACTTGGGGCGGACCGAGCGCGAGTCATGGCACGCCCTAACTCCTCCTGCTGTAGATGTGTTCTGTCTTGTCTTGTCGAAGATCGATTGGTGATGCTCCACCCACATGCAGCAGTATTGTACCTAGAGGAGGGTGCGAAAACCAAGGCTAGTCTGTACTCCTGACGAGGTTGCTGCTGTAGTATGATTGGATGATTCGAACACCGACAAAACACCCTAGGGCATTGGAGTAGCTACACTGCAACGGTCTAGGGGGTTATCTTATCGTGCGATGGATAGATGGATAGATCGATCACTTGCACCTTTCCGATTTGGAGACTTGGCTTTCATTGTACCTGTGCTGTACCTGTGCACTCCGCCCGGGAGCTTGTGGCCGCGTTCCCCCAGGGGTCGGAAAATGCGGGAGTGTGAAAGTGGTTGTAAATGCGATAATGTCAACGTGGTTGTCCCAAGAGGTGAAGCTGGCGTGTTCGTTTTGTGCCACAAGAGCAAGAGGCGTGCTTGACAAGGAGACGCCTGACCCACCCATTTCGTAACCCTTTCATTTTCCAACTGTAGTACTAACTCGAACACTATCGACGTCTCTCAACCGTACCTGAAACACGCTGCCCCCACGCCGTTAACTCAAGAAGGTCTCTTAACCTGGTGCGTTAACTCTAGCGCCCGTTGTAACCAAGTATACTTTTTCGTCTACCCGACAAACGTAACTCGACAGGGGCTCATGCTGGACGGATACTTCCACTACATCCCCTGGAAGGGCCGCATGTCTCCCTTCTGGGACAACGACTGGCTGCACTGGGACATCAAGAAAACCGAGGACGCCACCGGCTCGCTCGGCGGCTCTTCCAGCCTCATCTACTTCACCAGCTACCCCGCAGGCATGTGGTATAGATGTATGTACCTTGATTTGATCTCCCCTCGAGGAGTGAAGACCCCTGCGGAGCCCCCCACCCCGCAGACAGAATTTTGTGGGCCAGAGGTTTTTCCGAGGTTTGAGATAACCTCGATAGGGCTCCCGCGTCGAAGAGCGCGAACAGAAGTTTATCGGATGGTATGGTATGGTGTGGCATGGTATGATAATAATGATAACTTCCAGCTTGTCGTTGGTCTCCCATGCCTTGCATTCCTTGCGGCATGCTATTTACTTAACATACATGGTATGTTTTGTCGTTGACGAGGGAGGTGTTTCTTGCCGCACCCCACGGATGATGATGTGATGATGGCGTGTGTGGAAGAAAGTAACTCGAGTCCAGCTTGTCGCGCTGGTTTCCAGATGGCATCGGGTGAACAGGCAAAGGCACTGAACAGCTAGCTCACTTCCAGCCCAAGCCCTTCCCGTATGCGTATGATAACAGGAGTGCTTGCAGAAAAACAACCAGGCCATTGTCCTGTTATCTCTCTCCCTCTCTTCCTCTCTCTCTTCTCCCCCCCCCGCCCCCGCTCCCTCCCTCCCTTCCCCCTTTGGCCTTTTTTGTGCAACGCTCACGGAAACGACGGAAACTCTCCTCTCCTCTCGTGTCCTGTTGTGGTTGCTGTTTCAGGACTGTACTCGAGCTGCCTGGGCGAGTCTAGCCTCGAGTCCACCACCGGTAGCGTCTTCGCGGCCCCGTCTGCGGAGGATGCGCTCAAGACGGCAAACAACGGCGGGCGCCCTACCGGAGCATCCTTTGCCGGTCTGGAGCCGCCGTATGACTACACGCCCTGCGACGAGGGCGCGGAGGTCGGCACGAAGCCCTACGTTTACAACGTTTTCTGCAACGGAGATGGGGAGGTGGACGTAAGTTTCTTCTCTGTTTTAATCAATTCCGTTTGTTTGTGCCTCACCATTTTTTTTTCTTCCTTTTTTTTTTTTCTGTGGTCGGGAGGTCTTTGTCACATGTCGAATTGTATTGCCTTGTTTGCGGTGTCTTTTGTTTGGGTTGTTTTTTTACTGGAACATCCAAACGCGAAGCTTGCGGTACTGCTGGAGATAAAGAGAGCATCTTGGCGCTAGATAAATAGTTTTGTCAACACACCGGTGCTTCGCCGCAACCGCCCAACGTGTTGAATCTTTCCCTCCCCCTTCTCCCATCTCTTTGTTGGGTATTCTATTCTCTCGTGCTACCCTCCTTCCTCCGGACAACCACGTCACGTCACCTCAAACTTTATCACTCGAACGACTTCAGGCGTGCGCGGAGTTCGACTCGTTCACGATGGAGAATCTCCACTACTGCCCAGCGGAAGACGGGTGCAGCCTTGACTGCGAACCCCTCACCTCCGCCGAGCGTTCCCTAGCAGGCGGGGAGTACGTCCAGTGCCAAAACATTGCCAACCGCATGGTTCAGAAGGAGGCTCTCCAGCACGGGCAGGTAGGCACCGCTGCTGCTGCTGCTGCTGCTGCTGTACCCTTTTGCGGTCTAGTGTTGTACCCTTTGCCGTCTCGTGTTGCGGTCTAGTGTACCCTTTGCTGTCTCGTGCCCATTTGGGTCTAGTAATGTATTTTTGCGGTCTCGTGTTTGTACCCTTTTGGGTCTGGTGTTGCGGTCTCGTACCCTTTGCTGTCTGATGTTGTACCGTTTGCGGTCTAGTGATGTACCCTTTTCGGTCTCGTGCTTAGCCTGTTGCCGGCAATTGTATGTGGCGCACCCTCTGAAAGCCTCCAACCGGCCAAGTCTGTTGCGAATGTTTGTTGATCGTACGAAACGTTGATGAGGCTCCTGAGCCTTGTCGGTGCGCTCCTTTTCAGGGTTCCAAGCCGGCATGAGGGGCGACGTTCCCGTTGCCCCTTATGTTCTTCCCATCGTCGTCGTCTTGTGTACTCAATGTTTGTTTTTGCGCTATTTCGTGACGATGATTGCGCGTGGCCGGCCACCCGTATCCACGCCAAATCAATATCTCGCCTCCTTGCTGTGGAGTTTTTTTTGCCTATTCTGCTGCTGCTGCCGCAAGTATTTTTTTTTTTTTTTTCACCACACAGTACATGCATCTCGATGACTAAGAACCTCACCCCCGGCCCCGCTCTATCCCCACCGGCGCGTGCAACCCAAAACGCCCCCCTGGGGTTTCAACCGATGGAATGGGATCGAATGGAATGGAGCAGGCGTCTTTCTTCGTGGCTATCGTGATCGTGCAGTGGGCCGACCTCATGATCTGCAAAACGAGGTGGCTGTCCATCCGGACGCAGGGCATGATCAACTCGGCGATGAACTTCGGGCTCTTCTTCGAGACGCTCCTCGCCGCCTGGTTGTGCTACTGCCCGCCCATCAACATCGGGCTCGGGACGAGAAACCTCCGCCTGGTGCACTGGTTCCCGGCCATGCCCTTCTCGGTGAGTCACCCATCCTGCCAGTCAGCGTTATCTGTAGTGTTGGTTCACGATCAGCCAACCCACGCTTGGCAGGCAGCAGCCTATCATAGCTTGCGATCGGAGCGAGCAGCGTCTTACATTTTTTTTTTGCAATAGTGTACCAGGTAGAGGCCTAGGGGCGTTGGGATGCACCGGCGGCCGTGGGAGGTGTGATGCCACTATATATTGTTTGATGCGATGCGGTGCTACCTATCTGACGAGAAGGACTGGCTGACGTTTAAATTCTGATTGGTGGGTTGCTAAGAACATGTGCCGTTGGATGGATAATGTGCCGTTGTTGCCAGCGTTGTCACGCAGTACAGAAGAGACAATACCGACCATATGTAGGGGAGTCACCGCCAAGTTTAACTTTTTAAAGTATGTTTTGTCATCTCCCTGTTGCTGTATCATGCATAGTTACAGGTGTATCCCGATGAGTCCCGGCTCAACCAACCCCCGCTTGTATATACACAAGTATGTTTTTCACCGTTGGTATTTCAGCAGTGTTGAGTGTTTCCAATCATTAATAATAATAGTCGGATGCTGGATGCCGGATGGTGTTTCCGCGACCTGCGGTCCGGAGAGAAACTGAGTTTTTCATCTGTGGAAGGACGCAGGCACTGGACATTGTTCTAAGCTCACCATCCACCCTTTCGGTATCGCCCTGGGAATAACTCCCCTCCCTCCTCTCTCTTTGTCTCCCGCAACAGATGATCATCTTCATGTACGACGAGATCCGCAAGTACCTCATGCGTACTACTTCCCCCGAGGTGATGGACAAGAGCACGGGTCAGGTCAAGCGTATCGCCGGGTGGCTGGAACGCAATACGTACTACTGATTATAGGCACGTATGGTACAGAGATGCGTGGAAGCGGAAGAAGACAAATAGGCACGAGAGAGAACACGTATTCGATTCGTTTGTCGCGTTTTTGATATTTTCCGCTGGCAGGCCTCTAGTCTCAATTCGATGTTCCATGTTTTCAATCTCTCGGGTGGGTGCGTTGAGAATTATGAAGGGTCTCGATGTTTTTCGCGGATGATGACTCTCCGCCGGGGGCGTGTTCCCGAGAGGACAGAGATAATAATACAGACAACAATCGTACACGGTTGGCCGATCAACGCGGTTTGCGCACGCGTGCCCGGGGGTAGGATGAGAGGTGGCGATGTTGCAGCTCTTCTTCCTCCACGTCTGGGGGACGGGCTTCTATTTACTAGGGGGTAAGATGGGTAGAGTCACGCGCTGGGCGCGGCTGGAATGTGTATGCAGCCTTCCCGCACCCTAAGGATTGGGAGTGGGGGGGGGGGGGGGGGGGCGTGGGAGTTGCGGGGCGAACACAGCAATGGCCTTTCCTCCTCTCAATTTAAAGCTCAATCTCGCATCTCTGGGTTGTAGAGATTAATTCGAAGCGACATGGTAAATGCGTGTCACAAACTGGATC